GTATAGTTCTTCCTTTTACTACCCCCTATTTGGCCAAGTCTAGAATAATTTATATTGCTGAGCAGAATTGTTTATTTTAGTGCTATTTTCTTGAGGAGAAAAAAAGCAGTTCTGAGATTGCATTCTAAGAGCTGATTATCTGGAAAGTTATTTTTTTCTTGTGTCAGGCTATATTGTTTTGTTGTTGCTTTCTGCCTCCATATTGCTGTCATTTAGAGACATCACTGAAAAAAAATCTTCTGTAATGCTTAATGAACAAAAATGCATTAGATTTTTCAGTGATGAGTCTTTCCAAGACAGTTCTGCTCTTTGTATTTACGTGCATAGTCATACTGCAAATGATACCTGAACTTCACTGAGATATAGTATGTATCCAGAATGAAAATGTATGAGTTCAAATTTGATTTGACAATGAAGTATGTCATATAATGTCCAAATCCAACTTTTACTGGTAACAGACTCCAGGTTCACCCTTCTTCGTGTACCTTCTTGTATATAAACTTCTTCTGCAAGCTGTATGCATTAACCATTAACATAAATTGTTTGTGCTCAACAGACACAAGATAGGCTTGTATTTATCAGCATTCCCAAAAAGAGTCTGGTATTCAAAATAATCTGTATTTATGTGAGAACTTACATGATACAGTGATTTGCCTAATGCTTTGTCTTTTATTAGCCAGAAAAACTTAGGTAAGCAAAAACTCAACAGTAATCTAATTCTTAGTGGAGTAAATGAGAGTTTTTTCCCTTGATTTTAATGAGAACTGGATCATGTCTGCACTAATGTTGTGACAAGCTGATAATCAAATATTATTAACGCCAAGCTCCGCTTGTACATCTCTTGGCAGACTGTACGGATGCACCTACAGTACACCCGCAAAACGGTTGTAAGCACGTATCACCTTTCACTTTGATTTCCTTCTGCACCTATGCTTTGTGAGTCAGCAGGATTAAATTTTTGCAGTTCATAACTTGAATCTTTCACATCGTGGGGTTTTCTTGGGAGGTAACTTAAAAAAAAAAAGAGCATTTCTGTTTCAGTCTCTAAAAAAAAAAAGAAAAAAAAAAAGCATTTCTGTTTCAGTCTCTGTGTTAAGTACACTTTAGTGTTAAAAAGCATATCAAGAATGCTATCAAGAAATCCCTGTTGGTAGAAGAAAGCCTAAAACTGGTGGACTGTGTTTCAAGCACCAGTCACCATCTTTTCTAGCTTTGTTGGACTGTGTTGCTACTGTCGGAGGATTTAATCAGCCTTTAGGCTCCTTTAATTCTTACACTGGTAGGGCAGCTATGAATGGAAGGAAATGGGCTATTTC